TTCTACCAATCCCAAACACTGACTGAGGGAACTTTACTGCTCAAATATCCCTCATTTCTACCAATCCCAAATTCTGACTGAGGGAACTCTACTGTTTAAATATCCCTCATTTCTACCAATCCCAAACACTGACTGAGGGAACTCTACTGCTCAAATATCCCTAATTTCTACCAATCCCAAACTCTGACTGAGGGAACTCTACTGCTCAAATATCCCACATTTCTACCAATCCCAAACACTGACTGAAGGAACTCTACTGCTCAAATATCCCACATTTCTACCAATCCCAAACACTGACTGAGGGAACTCTACTGCTCAAATATCCCACATTTCTACCAATCCCAAACACTTACTGAGGGAACTCTTCTGCTCAAATATCCCACATTTCTACCAATCCCAAACACTGACTGAGGGAACTCTACTGCTCAAATATCCCTCATTTCTACCAATCCCAAACACTGACTGAGGGAACTCTACTGCTCAAATATCCCTCATTTCTACCAATCCCAAACACTGACTGAGGGAACTCTACTGCTCAAATATCCCACATTTCTACCAATCCCAAACACTGACTGAGGGAACTCTACTGCTCAAATATCCCTCATTTCTACCAATCCCAAACACTGACTGAGGGAACTCTACTGCTCAAATATCCCACATTTCTACCAATCCCAAACACTGACTGAGGGAACTCTACTGCTCAAATATCCCTCATTTCTACCAATCCCAAACACTGACTGAGGGAACTCTACTGCTCAAATATCCCTCATTTCTACCAATCCCAAACACTGACTGAGGGAACTCTACTGCTCAAATATCCCTCATTTCTACCAATCCCAAACACTGACTGAGGGAACTCTACTGCTGAAATATCCCACATTTCTACCAATCCCAAACACTGACTGAGGGAACTCTACTGCTCAAATATCCCTCATTTCTACCAATCCCAAACACTGACTGAGGGAACTCTACTGCTCAAATATCCCTCATTTCTACCAATCCCAAACACTGACTGAGGGAACTCTACTGCTCAAATATCCCACATTTCTCCAATCCCAAACACTGACTGAGGGAACTCTACTGCTCAAATATCCCTCATTTCTACCAATCCCAAACACTGACTGAGGGAACTTTACTGCTCAAATATCCCACATTTCTACCAATCACAAACACTGACTGAGGGAACTCTACTGCTCAAATGTCCCTCATTTCTACCAATCCCAAACACTGACTGAGGGAACTCTACTGCTCAAATATCCCTCATTTCTACCAATCCCAAACACTGACTGAGGGAACTCTACTGCTCAAATTTCCCTCATTTCTACCAATCCCAAACTCTGACTGAGGGAACTCTACTGCTCAAATATCCCTCATTTCTACCAATCCCAAACACTGACTGAGGGAACTCTACTGCTCAAATATCCCACATTTCTACCAATCCCAAACACTGACTGAGGGAACTCTACTGCTCAAATATCCCACATTTCTACCAATCCCCAAACACTGACTGAGGGAACTCTACTGCTCAAATATCCCACATTTCTACCAATCCCAAACACTGACTGAGGGAACTCTACTGCTCAAATATCCCTCATTTCTACCAATCCCAAACACTGACTGAGGGAACTCTACTGCTCAAATATCCCTCATTTCTACCAATCCCAAACACTGACTGCGGGAACTCTACTGCTCAAATATCCCACATTTCTACCAATCCCAAACACTGACTGAGGGAACTCTACTGCTCAAATATCCCACATTTCTACCAATCCCAAACACTGACTGAGGGAACTCTACTGCTCAAATATCCCTCATTTCTACCAATCCCAAACACTGACTGAGGGAACTCTACTGCTCAAATATCCCACATTTCCACCAATCCCAAACACTGACTGAGGGAACTCTACTGCTCAAATATCCCTCATTTCTACCAATCCCAAACACTGACTGAGGGAACTCTACTGCTCAAATATCCCACATTTCTACCAATCCCAAACACTGACTGAGGGAACTCTACTGCTTAAATATCCCACATTTCTACCAATCCCAAACACTGACTGAGGGAACTCCACTGCTCAAATATCCCACATTTCTACCAATCCCAAACACTGACTGAGGGAACTCCACTGCTCAAATATCCCTCATTTCTACCAATCCCAAACACTGACTGAGGGAACTCCACTGCTCAAATATCCCACATTTCCACCAATCCCAAACACTGACTGAGGGAACTCTACTGCTCAAATATCCCTCATTTCTACCAATCCCAAACACTGACTGAGGGAACTCTACTGCTCAAATATCCCACATTTCTACCAATCCCAAACACTGACTGAGGGAACTCTACTGCTCAAATATCCCACATTTCTTCCAATCCCAAACACTGACTGAGGGAACTCTACTGCTCAAATATCCCTCATTTCTACCAATCCCAAACACTGACTGAGGGAACTCTACTGCTCAAATATCCCTCATTTCTACCAATCCCAAACACTGACTGAGGGAACTCTACTGCTCAAATATCCCTCATTTCTACCAATCCCAAACACTGACTGCGGGAACTCTACTGCTCAAATATCCCACATTTCTACCAATCCCAAACACTGACTGAGGGAACTCTACTGCTCAAATATCCCACTATTCTACCAATCCCAAACACTGACTGAGGGAACTCTACTGCTCAAATATCCCTCATTTCTACCAATCCCAAACACTGACTGAGGGAACTCTACTGCTCAAATATCCCACATTTCCACCAATCCCAAACACTGACTGAGGGAACTCTACTGCTCAAATATCCCTCATTTCTACCAATCCCAAACACTGACTGAGGGAACTCTACTGCTCAAATATCCCACATTTCTACCAATCCCAAACACTGACTGAGGGAACTCTACTGCTCAAATATCCCACATTTCTACCAATCCCAAACACTGACTGAGGGAACTCCACTGCTCAAATATCCCACATTTCTACCAATCCCAAACACTGACTGAGGGAACTCCACTGCTCAAATATCCCTCATTTCTACCAATCCCAAACACTGACTGAGGGAACTCCACTGCTCAAATATCCCACATTTCCACCAATCCCAAACACTGACTGAGGGAACTCTACTGCTCAAATATCCCTCATTTCTACCAATCCCAAACACTGACTGAGGGAACTCTACTGCTCAAATATCCCACATATCTACCAATCCCAAACACTGACTGAGGGAACTCTACTGCTCAAATATCCCACATTTCTACCAATCCCAAACACTGACTGAGGGAACTCTACTGCTCAAATATCCCACATTTCTACCAATCCCAAACACTGACTGAGGGAACTCTACTGCTCAAATATCCCTCATTTCTACCAATCCCAAACACTGACTGAGGGAACTCCACTGCTCAAATATCCCACATTTCTACCAATCCCAAACACTGACTGAGGGAACTCCACTGCTCAAATATCCCTCATTTCTACCAATCCCAAACACTGACTGAGGGAACTCTACTGCTCAAATATCCCACATTTCCACCAATCCCAAACACTGACTGAGGGAACTCTACTGCTCAAATATCCCGCATTTCTACCAATCCCAAACACTGACTGAGGGAACTCTACTGCTCAAATATCCCTCATTTTTACCAATCCCAAACACTGACTGAGGGAACTTTACTGCTCAAATATCCCTCATTTCTACCAATCCCAAACTCTGACTGAGGGAACTCTACTGCTCAAATATCCCTCATTTCTACCAATCCCAAACACTGACTGAGGGAACTTTACTGCTCAAATATCCCTCATTTCTACCAATCCCAAACTCTGACTGAGGGAACTCTACTGCTCAAATATCCCTCATTTCTACCAATCCCAAACACTGACTGAGGGAACTCTACTGCTCAAATATCCCACATTTCTACCAATCCCAAACACTGACTGAGGGAACTCTACTGCTCAAATATCCCACATTTCTACCAATCCCAAACACTGACTGAGGGAACTCTACTGCTCAAATATCCCACATTTCTACCAATCCCAAACACTGACTGAGGGAACTCTACTGCTCAAATATCCCACATTTCTACCAATCCCAAACTCTGACTGAGGGAACTCTACTGCTCAAATATCCCTCATTTCTACCAATGACAGACTAAGCGGGCGTTCTGGAAACCTGTTTGAAAACAGCTATTATTTTGCTTTTCAGGGGTGTGTTTCCCGTACAATGATGTAACTCGCTGCTTCACTATCACAGTACGATGCATCGTTGAAGAAATCAACTTGCTAGTCACGACTGTTTCCCGAAACCATATTGTCGCAAATTGGTCGTTCAACCGTGTTGGTTTATGACGTCACGCACGTGGTGGAGTAATAACTTATTTTAATGAAACTTTATTGAGATCGAATTAATGCGAGATGTTTTGATATAAATTACAGACATGGCATCTGAGGAATATTTCTAATTTTTATCAATTATTTTGCTTTATTTCCAGATTCAATCATAGTCTCATTCTCACACACTAGAGCTCGTTCACACATGCGCACTCTTCAAAAACTACACTTTAAATCTCTTTACAAACTCAAAGACGTAAATGACATTTGTACAGTATGTGTTCTAGATTAAAGACACAGGTTGCACTGAATGTCAGCTTGCTTATTTTGCTCAAAATCAGGATTTATTGAGTCCACATGTCATGAACACTAGAAACTCTGCTTCTAACCACAGCTCGAGATCTGTCGCTCACACACACCACTCTGAGATGCTGTTTGCGAATGTTCGTTAGAACGATGGTTTCGGGAAACACCGACTTGTTGAACTGCTGATAATGACGGAACTTGCGACCATAGTTGGCTAACGAGGCTTTCGGGAAACACACCCCTGTTTGGTAACACTAGAGGCGTAGAAATGACACACTCCTCTGGTCAGTATTCATTTACAGACCTACCTGTTCCTTCTGCACAGTTAAATATTACTCAGACTTATAGAAACATTTCCTTTTTTTCTGCCTTAGCAAGAGCAAAAACACTCGGAGGATCCCTCTCGCGAGGTAAAGAAGGTTCGTAAAGCTCGTAACCGGCGTCAGGAGTGGAATATGATGGCGTACGATAAGGAGTTTCGTCCGGACACTCGTCTAACACCGTCTCCTTACCATGGCATGTCCTCTGAGGGATCTCTGTCTCCAGATCGGTGGGTACTACGGCCTGTTCTCTGTGGTCGAGCCACTTTAGTGTTTTGAAGAATGCAACGTATTTAGCGATAGTTCACCCAAAAATTTAAATTCTGTCATTAATTACTCACCCTCGCGTCGTTCCAAATCCGTAAGACTTTTGTTCATCTTCAGAAGACAAATGAAGATCTTTTTGATGAAATCTGAGAGCTTTCTGTCCCTTCGTTGACAGGCTACGCAACTACCACTTTGACGCTTAAAAATGCTTATATTGAGATCGTAAAACTAATCCATATGAATTGAGTGGTTTAGTCCAAATTTTCTGAAGGGACACGATTGCTTTATATGATGAACAGATTTAATTTAGTCTTTTATTCATATAAACAATCATGTTTGAACTTCTGAAAGTTCAAAGCGCGTCAAGCTGGTTCGATTGAGCTTCTGTTTATGTTCACTGATCAATGTTTGTATGTGAATAAAAGCCTAAAGTCTCTTCAGAAAATTTGGACTAAACCACTCAATTCATATGGATTAGTTTTATGATCTCTTTGTGAACGTTTTGAAGTGGTAGTTGCGCAGCCTGTCAATGGAGGGACAGAAATCTCTCAGATTTCATCAAAAAGATCTTCATTTGTGTTCAGAAGATGAAAGGTGAGTAACGAAACGAAATGAAGGTGAGTAATTAATGACAGAATTTTCATTTTTGGGCGAACTGTCCCTTTAAATTAATAGTTTACCAAAAAAATTAATTGTTCATCGGCAGCTCTCATGAACTGATGGCTCTCTATTGTGTCTTGCTCTGATCTGAAGCTGAATAAAGTTACTCATTTGCTTATTACTTATTCCGCTTGACTTTGCGTCAGTTGATTAGAAACTTCATTACACCCAATGGGTGCGTCAACTTTATTTGCATTGTATGTTTAAATCTATATCAAATGCACTTATTTATTAAAAACATAAGATGGCAGTTGAACTGTTAAGTACATTTAAGAAGTGTGTTACTCTCTTTAAGTTCCATAACTTACTCTCTTTAAATACACTCTCTTTACTGACACTTACTCTCTTTAAGTACACTTAAGTGGCCTTTTAATTCATTATTAATATATGATCTGCAAGGACTGTTTTTAAAAATATGCTTTTAAGGTTTGAAGTACACTATAAGTGCACATTTGATCCAATTAAGTGCCCTTCTTTTTCACAAGGATAATTAAAATGCCATCTGTTTGTGTATAGGTGAACTAGCAAACTGAAGTATAAACAGCTGAGAATGGTGTGTGTTGTGTTCATGATGGCACCAAGAAAAAAAGCTTTTTAAAAGAGACTTAAAGATAGTCAGGGAAGGATCTCTGATCTCTAAGGCCAGGTTGATCCACAACCGAGGACCAACCACAGAATAGACTCGATCCCCTTTATGTTTGAGTCGTGAGTGTGGGACTAGAAGGAGGCTTTGGTCACTTGCGTCTAGAAGGGGAATAGGAAAGAAGCAATTTTGATAAGTAGATAGGAGCATGGTTATGCAGACATTTACAGTTTACAAATAAAAGAATCTTAAAGGGAAAAAAAGAAGAAAAAAAAAACCTTAAAAAAATGGTGCCCACTCACTCCAATTATAAAGCTTGAAAGAGCCAGGACATTTAAATATAACTCCGATTGTATTCGTCTGAAAGAAGAATGTCATACAGGTGAAACTCGAAAAATTTGAATATCGTGCAAAAGTTCATTTATTTCAGTAATTCAACTTAAAAGGTGAAACTAATATATTATATAGACTCATTACATGCAAAGTGAGATATTTCAAGCCTTTATTTGTTATAATTTTGATGATTATGGCTTACAGCTTACAAAACCCCAAATTCAAAATTAGAATATTGTGAAAAGGTTTTCATATCTGTAATCCATAATCATCAAAAATATAACAAATAAAGGCTTGAAATATCTCACTTTGCATGTAATGAGTCTATATAATATATTAGTTTCACCTTTTAAGTTGAATTACGGAAATAAATGAACTTTTGCACCATATTCTAATTTTTCGAGTTTCACCTGTACACCTAGGATGACTTGAGGATGAGCAAATCATGGGCTAATTTTCATTTTTGGGTGAACTATCCCTTTAAAGTCAATTCTATACTGAACAGGCAGCCATAATAATACTTGTGTGCTGTGTGTCTGTATATTGTGTTGTTTGATTGAACGCAGATCTGGTATGTCAGACGAGCACTCGTACCCAGCGAGTCCAAACCACCCACCGGAGGCTGGCGGAGCAGGGGCTGATGGGAAAGACGGCGGCCCCACGCAGACGCAGTCCCTGGACCGAGCGCACCGGCCCCCGGGCTCCACCAGTTCTGCTGGGGCCCGACAGCACTCTCTGGGACGCCTCCAGGTCCACCACGGGCCCCCAGTGCCAGAATCAGCTCTCAACGGGCCCCGGCCAACAGCTGCGAAAGAATACAGGCATGTCACTTCTCTCTCGAAAGTTACAGACTATAATGCTATCGATTACTGGAATATTTTTGGGGAGTAAACAACTAGCAGTGCTACTTTTATCATTAAAGTAACGTTGTGATGTCCAGATGTATTTCATTCAAGTCATTGTTTTTTTGGGTAACACTTTATTTTGATGGTCCCTTTTAAACATTGTGTTGACTATAAGTAACTTTGCAACAACATGTCAACTAACTCTCATTAAAGTATTAACAGACTGTCTTCTTAATATCTGCTCACACTTTATTTTGATGCTCCTCCAACAGACATTATACTGACTATAAGTAACTTTGCAACTACGTCAACTTATTCTAACCCATTTCAGTTTACTAATACTCTACGAATACTCTAATGAGAGTTAGTAGACATGTGGCTGCAACGTTACTTATAGTCAACAGAATGTGTTAAAGGGACCATCAAAATAAAGTGAAACCGTTTTTTGTAGTGTTTCATCTCTATGTGTGAGAAAGTAATAGTTCACCCAAAAAGGAAAGTTGTCAACATTTACTCATTTACATCATGAGGGGGATTTTTTTTATGTCAATATGTTCCTTCAGGTTCACTTATAACGTTAAAGAATTTTGCACTAAACAAAATTAATTATTTTCAACCCTCATTCTGAGCCTTTGTTTTTAAGGTGCGGCTCCTTTAAGGCTTGTCAGTAAACGCCACTGTTATGATTGGCTAACGTCTCTGCATAGGAAAAAGTATCAACGCTTTACCGTTATGAAAACATTATCCATATAAAACCATTATTTACAGTTAAAGCAAAGCATTATGAAATCATTCACTAGGGTTTGTGATAAAGCTGCTGTCAGATGTAATGCAGTCGCTGCTTCATCTTTCAACAAAAGCTTCTTTGTGAACTCTCCATTACACTGTGCCTCGATTACAAAATAAAATGCTCTGGACAAACATATAATCCTGTGACGCGATCCTAGACGCCATTAAAATAAACATCCACTTGTTCCTGATGCTGAGATCTTCTGAAGTCTGAACAGAGACTCAAACCAGCTGTTTAAACTGGACGATCAAAGCAAGCTTTCTTTCACTCTTCCAATTGCCCTGTTGTTGAATGTCAGTAACTGAACACACATCTGTATACTGTATCAGTGTAGACAGAGTCAGTCATTATAATCTGAACACACATCTGTATACTGTATCAGTGTAGACAGAGTCAGTCATTATAATCTGAACACACATCTGTATACTGTATCAGTGTAGACAGCGTCAGTCATTATAATCTGAACACACATCTGTATACTGTCTCAGTGTAGACAGCATCAGTCATTATAATCTGAACACACATCTGTATAATGTATCAGTGTATCAGCGTCAGTCATTATAATCTGAACACACATCTGTATACTGTATCAGTGTAGACAGCATCAGTCATTATAATCTGAACACACATCTGTATACTGTATCAGAGTATCAGCATCAGTCATTATAATCTGAACACACATCTGTATACTGTATCAGTGTAGACAGCATCAGTCATTATAATCAGAACACACACCTGTATACTGTATCAGTGTAGACAGCGTCAGTCATTATAATCTGAACACACATCTGTATACTGTATCAGTGTAGACAGTGTCAGTCATTATAATCTGAACACACATCTGTATACTGTATCAGTGTATCAGCGTCAGTCATTATAATCTGAACACACATCTGTATACTGTATCAGTGTAGACAGCATCAGTCATTATAATCTGAACACACATCTGTATACTGTCTCAGTGTAGACAGCATCAGTCATTATAATCTGAACACACATCTGTATACTGTATCAGTGTATCAGCGTCAGTCATTATAATCTGAACACACATCTGTATACTGTATCAGTGTAGACAGCATCAGTCATTATAATCTGAACACACATCTGTATACTGTATCAGAGTATCAGCATCAGTCATTATAATCTGAACACACATCTGTATACTGTATCAGTGTAGACAGCGTCAGTCATTATAATCTGAACACACATCTGTATACTGTATCAGTGTAGACAGCATCAGTCATTATAATCTGAACACACATCTGTATACTGTATCAGTGTATCAGCATCAGTCATTATAATCTGAACACACATCTGTATACTGTATCAGTGTAGACAGCGTCAGTCATTATAATCTGAACACACATCTGTATACTGTATCAGTGTAGACAGAGTCAGTCATTATAATCTGAACACACACCTGTATACTGTATCAGTGTAGACAGCGTCAGTCATTATAATCTGAACACACATCTGTATACTGTATCAGTGTAGACAGCGTCAGTCATTATAATCTGAACACACATCTGTATACTGTATCAGTGTAGACAGCATCAGTCATTATAATCTGAACACACATCTGTATACTGTATCAGTGTAGACAGCGTCAGTCATTATAATCTGAACACACATCTGTATACTGTATCAGTGTAGACAGCGTCAGTCATTATAATCTGAACACACATCTGTATACTGTATCAGTGTATCAGCATCAGTCATTATAATCTGAACACACATCTGTATACTGTATCAATGTAGACAGCGTCAGTCATTATAATCTGAACACACATCTGTATACTGTATCAGTGTATCAGCATCAGTCATTATAATCTGAACACACATCTGTATACTGTATCAGTGTAGACAGCGTCAGTCATTATAATCTGAACACACATCTGTATACTGTATCAGTGTAGACAGCGTCAGTCATTATAATCCGAACACACATCTGTATACTGTATCAGTGTAGACAGCGTCAGTCATTATAATCTGAACACACATCTGTATACTGTATCAGTGTAGACAGCGTCAGTCATTATAATCTGAACACACATCTGTATACTGTATCAGTGTAGACAGCATCAGTCATTATAATCTGAACACACATCTGTATACTGTATCAGTGTAGACAGAGTCAGTCATTATAATCTGAACACACATCTGTATACTGTATCAGTGTAGACAGCGTCAGTCATTATAATCTGAACACACATCTGTATACTGTATCAGTGTATCAGCGTCAGTCATTATAATCTGAACACACATCTGTATACTGTATCAGTGTATCAGCGTCAGTCATTATAATCTGAACACACATCTGTATACTGTATCAGTGTATCAGCGTCAGTCATTATAATCTGAACACACATCTGTATACTGTATCAGTGTAGACAGAGTCAGTCATTATAATCTGAACACACATCTGTATACTGTATCAGTGTAGACAGCGTCAGTCATTATAATCTGAACACACATCTGTATACTGTATCAGTGTAGACAGAGTCAGTCATTATAATCTGAACACACATCTGTATACTGTATCAGTGTATCAGCGTCAGTCATTATAATCTGAACACACATCTGTATACTGTATCAGTGTAGACAGAGTCAGTCATTATAATCTGAACACACATCTGTATACTGTATCAGTGTATCAGCGTCAGTCATTATAATCTGAACACACATCTGTATACTGTATCAGTGTAGACAGCATCAGTCATTATAATCTGAACACACATCTGTATACTGTATCAGTGTATCAGCGTCAGTCATTATAATCTGAACACACATCTGTATACTGTATCAGTGTAGACAGAGTCAGTCATTATAATCTGAACACACATCTGTATACTGTATCAGTGTATCAGCGTCAGTCATTATAATCTGAACACACATCTGTATACTGTATCAGTGTAGACAGAGTCAGTCATTATAATCTGAACACACATCTGTATACTGTATCAGTGTAGACAGCGTCAGTCATTATAATCTGAACACACATCTGTATACTGTATCAGTGTATCAGCATCAGTCATTATAATCTGAACACACATCTGTATACTGTATCAGTGTATCAGCGTCAGTCATTATAATCTGAACACACATCTGTATACTGTATCAGTGTAGACAGCGTCAGTCATTATAATCTGAACACACATCTGTATACTGTATCAGTGTAGACAGCATCAGTCATTATAATCTGAACACACATCTGTATACTGTATCAGTGTAGACAGTGTCAGTCATTATAATCTGATCACATATCTGTATACTGTATCAGTGTAGACAGTGTCAGTCATTATAATCTGATCACATATCTGTATACTGTATCAGTGTAGACAGCGTCAGTCATTATAATCTGAACACACATCTGTATACTGTATCAGTGTATCAGCGTCAGTCATTATAATCTGAACACACATCTGTATACTGTATCAGTGTATCAGCGTCAGTCATTATAATCTGAACACACATCTGTATACTGTATCAGTGTAGACAGCATCAGTCATTATAATCTGAACACACATCTGTATACTGTATCAGTGTATCAGCGTCAGTCATTATAATCTGAACACACATCTGTATACTGTATCAGTGTATCAGCGTCAGTCATTATAATCTGAACACACATCTGTATACTGTATCAGTGTATCAGCATCAGTCATTATAATCTGAACACACATCTGTATACTGTATCAGTGTAGACAGTGTCAGTCATTATAATCTGAACACACATCTGTATACTGTATCAGTGTAGACAGCGTCAGTCATTATAATCTGAACACACATCTGTATACTGTATCAGTGTAGACAGTGTCAGTCATTATAATCTGAACACACACCTGTATACTGTATCAGTGTATCAGTGTCAGTCATTATAATCTGAACACACATCTGTATACTGTATCAGTGTATCAGCATCAGTCATTATAATCTGAACACACATCTGTATACTGTATCAGTGTAGACAGTGTCAGTCATTATAATCTGAACACACATCTGTATACTGTATCAGTGTATCAGCATCAGTCATTATAATCTGAACACACATCTGTATACTGTATCAGTGTAGACAGAGTCAGTCATTATAATCTGAACACACATCTGTATACTGTATCAGTGTAGACAGCGTCAGTCATTATAATCTGAACACACATCTGTATACTGTATCAGTGTATCAGCGTCAGTCATTATAATCTGAACACACATCTGTATACTGTATCAGTGTATCAGCGTCAGTCATTATAATCTGAACACACATCTGTATACTGTATCAGTGTAGACAGCGTCAGTCATTATAATCTGAACACACATCTGTATACTGTATCAGTGTAGACAGCATCAGTCATTATAATCTGAACACACATCTGTATACTGTATCAGTGTAGACAGTGTCAGTCATTATAATCTGATCACATATCTGTATACTGTATCAGTGTAGACAGCGTCAGTCATTATAATCTGATCACATATCTGTATACTGTATCAGTGTAGACAGCGTCAGTCATTATAATCTGAACACACATCTGTATACTGTATCAGTGTATCAGCATCAGTCATTATAATCTGAACACACATCTGTATACTGTATCAGTGTAGACAGTGTCAGTCATTATAATCTGAACACACATCTGTATACTGTATCAGTGTAGACAGCGTCAGTCATTATAATCTGAACACACATCTGTATACTGTATCAGTGTAGACAGTGTCAGTCATTATAATCTGAACACACACCTGTATACTGTATCAGTGTATCAGTGTCAGTCATTATAATCTGAACACACATCTGTATACTGTATCAGTGTATCAGCATCAGTCATTATAATCTGAACACACATCTGTATACTGTATCATTGTAGACAGTGTCAGTCATTATAATCTGAACACACATCTGTATACTGTATCAGTGTATCAGTGTCAGTCATTATAATCTGAACACACATCTGTATACTGTATCAGTGTAGACAGCGTCAGTCATTATAATCTGAACACACATCTGTATACTGTATCAGTGTATCAGCATCAGTCATTATAATCTGAACACACATCTGTATACTGTATCAGTGTAGACAGCGTCAGTCATTATAATCTGAACACACATCTGTATACTGTATCAGTGTATCAGCATCAGTCATTATAATCTGAACACACATCTGTATACTGTATCAGTGTAGACAGTGTCAGTCATTATAATCTGAACACACATATGTATACTGTATCAGTGTAGACAGCGTCAGTCATTATAATCTGAACACACATCTGTATACTGTATCAGTGTAGACAGTGTCAGTCATTATAATCTGAACACACACCTGTATACTGTATCAGTGTATCAGTGTCAGTCATTATAATCTGAACACACATCTGTATACTGTATCAGTGTATCAGCATCAGTCATTATAATCTGAACACACATCTGTATACTGTATCAGTGTAGACAGTGTCAGTCATTATAATCTGAACACACATCTGTATACTGTATCAGTGTATCAGTGTCAGTCATTATAATCTGAACACACATCTGTATACTGTATCAGTGTATCAGCGTCAGTCATTATAATCTGAACACACATCTGTATACTGTATCAGTGTAGACAGTGTCAGTCATTATAATCTGAACACACACCTGTATACTGTATCAGTGTATCAGTGTCAGTCATTATAATCTGAACACACATCTGTATACTGTATCACTGTAGACAGCGTCAGTCATTATAATCTGAACACACATCTGTATACTGTATCAGTGTATCAGCGTCAGTCATTATAATATGAACACACATCTGTATACTGTATCAGTGTAGACAGCGTCAGTCATTATAATCTGAACACACACCTGTATACTGTATCAGTGTATCAGTGTCAGTCATTATAATCTGAACACACATCTGTATACTGTATCACTGTAGACAGCGTCAGTCATTATAATCTGAACACACATCTGTTTACTGTATCACTGTAGACAGCGTCAGTCATTATAATCTGAACACACATCTGTATACTGTATCAGTGTATCAGCGTCAGTCATTATAATTTGAACACACATCTGTATACTGTATCAGTGTATCAGCGTCAGTCATTATAATCTGAAAACACATCTGTATACTGTATCAGTGTAGACAGCGTCAGTCATTATAATCTGAACACACACCTGTATACTGTATCAGTGTATCAGCATCAGTCATTATAATCTGAACACACATCTGTATACTGTATCAGTGTATCAGCGTCAGTCATTATAATATGAACACACATCTGTATACTGTATCAGTGTAGACAGCATCAGTCATTAGAATCTGAACACACATCTGTATACTTTATCAGTGTATCAGCGTCAGTCATTATAATCTGAACACACATCTGTATACTGTATCAGTGTATCAGTGTCAGTCACTATAATCTGAACACACATCTGTATACTGTATCAGTGTAGACAGCATCAGTCATTATAATCTGAACACACATCTGTATACTGTATCAGTGTATCAGCGTCAGTCATTATAATCTGAACACACATCTGTATACTGTATCAGTGTAGACAGCATCAATCATTATAATCTGAACACACATCTGTATACTGTATCAGTGTAGACAGAGTCAGTCATTATAATCTGAACACACATCTGTATACTGTATCAGTGTAGACAGCATCAATCATTATAATCTGAACACACATCTGTATACTGTATCAGTGTATCAGCATCAGTCATTATAATCTGAACACACATCTGTATACTGTATCAGTGTAGACAGCGTCAGTCATTATAATCTGAACACACATCTGTATACTGTATCAGTGTAGACAGCATCAGTCATTATAATCTGAACACACATCTGTATACTGTATCAGTGTAGACAGCGTCAGTCATTATAATCTGAACACACATCTGTATACTGTATCAGTGTAGACAGCATCAGTCATTATAATCTGAACACACATCTGTATACTGTATCAGTGTAGACAGCGTCAGTCATTATAATCTGAACACACATCTGTATACTGTATCAGTGTAGACAGCGTCAGTCATTATAATCTGAACAAACATCTGTATACTGTATCAGTGTAGACAGCATCAGTCATTATAATCTGAACACACATCTGTATACTGTATCAGTGTAGACAGCGTCAGTCATTATAATCTGAACACACATCTGTATAATGTATCAGTGTAGACAGCATCAGTCATTATAATCTGAACACACATCTGTATACTGTATCAGTGTAGACAGCATCAGTCATTATAATCTGAACACACATCTGTATACTGTATCAGTGTAGACAGCGTCAGTCATTATAATCTGAACACACATCTGTATACTGTATCAGTGTATCAGCATCAGTCATTATAATCTGAACACACATCTGTATACTGTATCAGTGTATCAGCGTCAGTCATTATAATATGAACACACATCTGTATACTGTATCAGTGTAGACAGCATCAGTCATTATAATCTGAACACACATCTGTATACTGTATCAGTGTAGACAGCATCAGTCATTATAATCTGAACACACATCTGTATACTGTGTCAGTGTAGACAGCGTCAGTCATTATAATCTGAACACACATCTGTATACTGTATCAGTGTAGACAGCATCAGTCATTATAATCTGAACACACATCTGTATACTGTATCACTGTAGACAGGATCAGTCATTATAATCTGAACACACATCTGTATACTGTATCAGTGTAGACAGCGTCAGTCATTATAATCTGAACACACATCTGTATACTGTATCAGTGTATCAGCGTCAGTCATTATAATCTGAACACACATCTGTATACTGTATCAGTGTATCAGCGTCAGTCATTATAATCTGAACACACATCTGTATACTGTATCAGTGTAGACAGCATCAGTCATTATAATCTGAACACACATCTGTATACTGTATCAGTGTAGACAGCGTCAGTCATTATAATCTGAACACACATCTGTATACTGTATCAGTGTATCAGCATCAGTCATTATAATCTGAACACACATCTGTATACTGTATCAGTGTATCAGCGTCAGTCATTATAATATGAACACACATCTGTATACTGTATCAGTGTAGACAGCGTCAGTCATTATAATCTGAACACACATCTGTATACTGTATCAGTGTAGACAGCATCAGTCATTATAATCTGAACACACATCTGTATACTGTATCAGTGTAGACAGCGTCAGTCATTATAATCTGAACACACATCTGTATACTGTATCAGTGTAGACAGCGTCAGTCATTATAATCTGAACACACATCTGTATACTGTATCAGTGTAGACAGCGTCAGTCATTATAATGGCTTCTATTTGCTTTTGACGCAACGCTCACATCCAGTGTAGGCAAATGTCGACTGAACGCCAGTGGGCGGAGCCTATGATGAGATGATGTACAACTATTGGTCGATGTCTTGCTCTATATTTGCCCAGATCCTGCAATATCAAAACAAGCAGTTTTTGGAGCTTCATTAAATGAATGCTTAGTTTATAATGAGGACGTTTTATGCTGTGTAAACATTCCAATAAAGTGTGCAAACATTTCAATAATTATTTAGGTTTAAAAATGACTGTGGGTAAGTAAACTACTCATCTTTATTTTTGGGTGAACAGTTCTTTTTCAGGCAATAATAGGAAATGACAAATATTTTTCAATGCAAAAAACAGTAGTCAACATTTAAAGTGGATCAAAACACGTCATCAAAGTTATACATGAATTTGGAACAATTCCCGGTCTTGTTTTAGGACACCTTTGATGAACTTTTCAAAACACTTCAAATTTGGACTACAGTAGTTCCTTAAACAACTTTCCCTTGTAATCACTTGTTTTAAGCTGTGTAAACATTTCAATAATTATTTAGGTTATTTAGGAAACTACTCATCTTTATTTTTGGGTGAACTGTTCCTTTGAGGCAACAGTAGGAAATGACAAAAAAAATTCAATGCAAAATAGTTCCTTAAACAACTTTCCCTTGTAATCCCTTGACAGCGGCCATCAAATCCTCGAGCACCTCATCCCACCCGCCCCCCCGCCCCCTCCTCCCCTCATCCCTTCATCTCAGACTGCGTTTGACAGCACATCTGGCCCTCCATCACTGGCTCCGGGGACAGTGATCTCCCTGTCACGGCCCTACAGCCCCTCTCCTCCACCGGCCCCCGCCTCGGCCTACACCGGCTCCCCTTCGCATGCTGTGATGGGTGGCCCACCGATGGCCCCGCCTCCCCCCCCACCGGGACCCCCCACCCACGCCCCGTCCCCGTCCCGAGGAACACACACACCTGGAGAGTCTACTCTTCCCAGAAAGGGCCAGGTGCCCCTCGTCCCCATCAGTGATGCCCGGAGCGACCTGCTGGCCGCCATCCGCAGAGGTCAGTACGCAAAGCAAAGGATTTTGAGTTCAGGATACCCGGCAAACATCCCAGCAAGCAATTTTGCGTTGAAAAGACGTCTAATAGCCGTCCAAACACCGCATAGACGTCGAAAACAAGGCAAAATTTGGGCTGTGAAAATGTAATAGACGTCTAAACCATATCCCAAGAAGAGACTAGTTGTTTCATTTCTTTGTTATCTTATTGATAACTAGTCTATTCTTGGGATATGGTTTAGACGTCTATTAAATTTTCTATTAAATGACTGCGGTTACACACACTGAGTGGCAGAAACACTGAGCGGCAGCATTAGTTTGCAGTGTGAATGACACGAAAAACACATCTAAAACGGAAAAGAGCTTTGATTGACTGTACATCTAGATTTGACAAGAAATCTGAGGTATATTTTTTACAGACTGCTGAAAGCTACATCAATTAAATATTTACCATCATATATTCTGCATAATTGATTGTTTTTAAATAACACTGACAAAAAACGATACTGTAAGTTTTAGGGCTGGACGATATAATGATATATAAAATTACATTGATATAAGTCATCACATGGATTTAGACCTATATTGTATTTATATAAAGCGTAGTCAAATTTGCTTTATGTATTTCCTCAGCGTTGAAATCAGGCTCATATAGATGTCAGGAAACACGATTCCTGCTGCATGTCAATATCCATGATCACTAGATTATAAGGTTATTATTAGATTATTAGGCTATTAGGTCCTACAAATATAGAAATACAGGTGAAACTCGGAAAATTAGAATATCGTGGCGCAAAAGTTCGTTTATTTCAGTAATTCAACTTAAAAGGTGAAACTAATATATTATATACCGTAGACTCATTACATGCAAAGTGAGATATTTCAAGCCTTTGTTTGTTATAATTTTGATGATTATGGCGTGCAACTTATGAAAACCCCAAATTCAAAATTAGAATATTGTGAAAAGGTTTTCATAAGCTATATAAGATTAAATTAACTTTTGCACGATATTCTAATTTTTCGAGTTTCACCTGTATTTGGTAAGTTGTAGGGAACACTATATCGAGTCCAACCTTTAGTTTAAACTGATAATCGTTCGTTTTACTCACGTTTCCCCTATTAAATCCAGTCACTCATCAGCTCTTCTGCCACCCAGTCCGACTGAGGGAGTGTGTTCCCGCGGGGAATTACGTCATAGCCCCAATCCACCCAGGCTCAATTATGTGTTTTCTAGAAACCTACTGTCCTAGGACGTAGGCATTATCTTTTATTGACTGCTGATTGTCCTCCAGGTATCCAGCTTCGTAAGGTGCAAGAGCAGAGAGAGCAGGAGGCCAAGAAAGAGCCCGTGGGGAACGACGTGGCCACCATTCTGTCCCGACGCATCGCAGTGGAGTACAGCGAGTCAGACGAGGACTCGGAGCCGGAGGAGAACGAGTGGTCCGACTGAGCCCGGGCCGGAGAGAACTGCGAACACCAGCAGAATGCTGCTATTTTACATTCCTGCACACACACACTCGTCCTCATGCGCTCAGATGGTCCATGGATGAGGCTACTGAGGAGATCAGAAACTGAATCTGTGCAATGCAAAGTGGAAGGACACGGTGCAAGTGCACAATTAGAGAGATGACAATGACAAAAGAGACAGTTCAGGCACTTTCGGAAAACTGTGTTTCATAATTACAATGCCAATTCAACATGCTAGCTTTTGCAAGAGTTGCCAAGAAAATACTTGTTGAGAAAAAATATTCGTTCTGTGATTTTTGATTATCTTTTGATCTTTTGTTAGCCGTCCGGAGAATATAGTGAAATATCTATCCATATCTTGTGATACACAAAAACGATGGTCAACAGTGGTATTAGCACTTGTATTCATTTTACGTTCAAATCATTGCCACAGTATTGTTACGCAAACACATTTGTTGTGATATCTCAGGCTTGCTTCACGCGAGATGCCCTGAATACAGTATATGGACAATCAAATCATCGCTACAGTAGATATTTAAAGTTGCTCTAATCAAAGTATACGTTTCTCCTTCAATATCACAACTCTCCATTATCCAACATTTGTCTCTTTGTTCAATCGTGGACAGTGTTGTGATGATTAATACGCCCCAGTTTAGCAGTGAGTGAATTTCTTAATGCTTTTATTATTTGCTTTTTTTTTTTGTCTTGTGGCCAATAATTTATTACTGCTCGCAGTTTACTAATAGTGTGTGTTTGTGTGTTGTGTGTGTGCTTTAATGTGTCAGACGAGGTGATGGAGTACGAGACTGTGACATCATTTGTAACAATACTCTGTACTGTATCATTAATGTGTTTTACAATGTATTGTTGTATAGATTTTTGTAACACTGTTCAAAAGACGGAAATGGCATCTTATGTTTAAACTATCATGTTGTAGGAATAGAGTCTAAAATGCATGTATGAATAATAAATGAAATAAAACCTCTAATAAAATTGAGCTTTTACTGAAATTGAAATTTGCTTTTTAGTGCACACCTCTAGAACCACAAGGGCCAAGACTATTTTTTTTTTCCCCTCTGAATACTTGAGTCAATCCCTAAAATAAATCATTTCCAAGATTTTATTGCATGTTGTAAATGTTCAACCATTGACAACCTTTTTTTCTTTCAAACTCCCCCTAGTTGTTCAACTCAACTTAAAAAACACTATCGTCTGACATCATGACAAATAGTTATCAAAATAATTTTGATACATCAACACTAGGGTTGCAAAGGGGCGGAAATGTTCCAGAGGCTTTCCATGGGAAGTTAAACTGGGGGGATTTTGGAAATATTCCAAGTGGGAAATTTAACGGGAATTAAATGGACAACAGACAAAGGACTGAACCAAACGGGTTATACGTAGATATATAAACACAGAACGAATGAGGGAGAAAACAAGGAACAGGTGGGACTAATCAATTGATTAGCAACTAAGGAAATGGGGAGTCATGGGCTATAAAAACATGTAATGAAACTAAACTCAAATAATCCAAACACAGATGATCCACGACAGCAAATCTGTAAGAATGTAAGTAATCATACACAGTCCCTTCTCTTATAATAACCTTATAAGTTGGCCGCAGTTTCAGTAGCGCAAAACATTACACATTAGAGTTTAAACAACAGCTGACAAAGTTTTAAAAGGTTAGAAGGCCACACATATTATAGAAATAAATAATAAAAAAGATAAATATTTCTGGACATACAAGCTGCAAATGAAAACTTCACACTCATTTGACATTGACCTTTTAATGTTTCCTCGTGAGTTCACACACCCCACATATATTGTGATCACATCCAGTACCTTAAGACAGTTAAAGTGTTGGACTTCTCTTCTTATAACAGTAAGAGGGAATGATTTCATTTGATAGCCGCTCTTGTTACAAGTGTGTATTGCAGTGACCTGTGTCATCAAACCCTAACTATCAGTGAAGATTCAAGATGGACTTTACTGTAAAAACCACATCATATTTGAAAAGGTACTATTTCAACTGGATCTCCAATCATCCACGTGCCAATGGTGATCCAACCCTGAAGATTGCCATTTGTGGCTTTATTTCAACCTTGTCCCACATCGCAGCGAGCGATCTTGGCCCGAATGCGGCCTCAAGCTGGCACTGCTGGCGTCCTGTCAGCCAGACCTGGACCAATGATGGCACAGCAAGTACAGCAAAAAACATGATCATTTAAAAAGAAAAACAAAATGTATATACACTGTAAAAAATGATCAGTGCTAATGCTACAGTGAAAAACTGTTAATTGGTTAACAGAAAGTTTCCTTACTATATACGGTAAATAACTGTGATAGATCTAATGGTACATTTTGTGTAATTTTACAGTAAAATACCGTTAAATTTACAGTTTTTGAAAGTGAAAGTGAACAACTCATTGTATAATTCACATTGAAAAAAACGTAAATTGACATTCCTACAATTCTCTGCGTGACACTTCACATTTGATGTATTTTTGTTGAAATGACTGTTTCTTCATAGTTTGCGTCTTTTCCAATCAGTTACGTACATCAGGGTTTTATGTGATATTTCATGTTGTTAAATTAATGTTTATTGCCTTTTTAAAATTTCATATGTGTTACCATGATGGTGTTTCATGTTTGTGTGAATGACACTGTGCAGCTTCTGTATATCAGTATTAACTGTCTTGTGGAAGATTTGCTTATGATAAGCTGTGATTGATCATGTGACTCTCATCACTGCTGTGATTGTTGGCTGTCAGTGTATTATAATGGTATAAAACAGATATTAATACTTCAATAGGTCGGTAAATTAACATTATATCAGATAATGAAATATGTTTTATTTCTGTAAATTTTAAGTTAAGTCTGTAAAACCTTGCTACTGTAAAGTCTTGCTACTGTATTTTATACAGTAAATTTCTGGCAACCACAGCTGCCGGTAATTTACCGTAAATTGAACAGATTTTTTTTTTTAAATGTAGAGAGAACGTCCGCCGAACGCTGTAAGTGTGTGTTAGAGATCAGGAATGGTGAGAAATCGGCCCAGATCTGGTACAAGTGGACTCCACACACACCAGACGTGGGCCGAATCTGGGCCGACACTATGTTGCTGTCTGAGGTGAGTCAGTGATGCATGTTTGAATGAGAAATGCACGCCTTTTAACCTAAACTCTTTACCTCACACAATACTAATGCATATACGACACCGGACTGCGACGGTACTGCTTTTTGTAATTTCTGCAATAAATAAATTATATTGATTACACTTGCATGTCTATCTGTTATGTTTCTTTTATAGTTTTTCCACCAGTAAATGTTCCGGACAAATATATGAGATTTGGCTGATAACACTAAAACCTATTCAGGCCCATTGCAGGGGCATTTATGGGTTATTAATTGGTTGAGACTCGGGCCAGTTATGGCACATGTGTGGGCCGAGGGAAAAGGGTTGTGTGGGCCAGAGCTAGGCCAGAAAAAACATTGCTATGTGAGGTTCTGCTGTAACATTTCTCTATTTAAAGCATGCTAAATAGATGAGAGAGAGCGAGAAGGATTTTGTTTATATATCTCCAGCTTTCCCTCCGAGTCTCTGACGTCACTGTCCTCCTGCATCAGCGAGCCTCCATCTGTCCCTTACATCTCCGCCAGCTCTCCAGTGGCTCTTTGTGGAGAAGAGGAGACCATGGCAAACAACAGATGCACTCTCCTGTTTGTGTACCTCTAACCCTTAGTGTGTGTGTGTGTGTGTGTGTGTGTGTGTGTGTGTGTGTGTGTGTGTGTGTGTGTGTGTGTGTGTGTGTGTGTGTGTGTGTGTGTGTGTGTGTGTGTGTGTGTGTGTGTGTGTGTGTGTGTGTGTGTGTGTGTGTGTGTGTGTGTGTGTGTGTGTGTGTTTGATACAGGATTAAGCAGTTCTGCTGAAGCACTAAAAATAACTTCCTCAAAAATGTTCAGTGTGACTAAAGAACTCCAAGTAATATCTGAATTTTAGCATCTCATTCTTGACTACAAACATGCAATGTATTAAAGGGGTGGTTGATTATGATTTCACTTTTTTAACTTTAGTTAGTGTGTAATGTTGCTGTTTAAGCATTAACAACATCTGCAAAGTTACAATGCTCAAAGTTCAAAGCAAAGGGAGAGATTTTCTTTTAAAGAAATCGCTTTATAAGGACTACAACAAACGGCTGGTTTGAGTTACACGAGCTTTTTAGTGACATCACAAACCCTAGAATTTACATAAACCCCGCCCCCGGGAACACGATTTATACACGAATCCGACGAGCGTTCTGTGTAGGCTGCCATCTTGTGGCGACGCCATTACTGAGCTGTTACCGGTATGTTAGTCTCGCGTAGCCAGACCTTCAGACTGACGGCTGAAGGTCTGGAATTCATGGCAGCTTTCTTTGGCCAAGGCCCGCCCATAAGGCCGTTTGACCGACATATCAAACGACCAATTACAGTTCTTTTCGTTCAGCGTCACGTTTCGGGGCGTGGAAATGTCCCCACAACAACAGACCGGCGTGCAACCATGCGTGCAACAAGTCAGTCAGCATAGAAAATCAAAGAAGGAGAAGAAAACAAGCAGTAAGACATTGATCTGTTCGTGCACGTATAACAACAATGGCGTGCACTTCATCAACAGCCATACCGATGAGACGCTCGCGGTAAACATCTGTTTGAAGCATATCTCTCCACTTTTTAACACCCACAAGCAATTCTGGAGAACCGAACACAATACTGAATCGGCCAGCTACGATGTCAGCGTCTGTTGTTTCATGTTTGCCCGCAAACGCGGCTGATATCCCCTTCGCAGTTAGGTACTTCACTTGATCTTCCATAAAAGATAAGAGGGGACACACACTGCTGGGAATCCTTCTAAATGCTGACAAAGGGTCGGCCAGGCTTGGAAAATAATACTCTTCCCAAATCCCGTCGGCAAACAGGCTAAAATATCTCTTTTTGTCTCCACTAAGTGCCTCAAACAAAACTCCTGGACATCTCTTAAAGAGTCTGTGCCGTGAACCTCGCATACTTTTGAGAATCCTACGTTTAGCTGATCTGGATAAATGCTCATTGTCACTCATGTAAACACAACAGTTTTTCTTCCGCAATCACACGTCTGCGCTTTGTTTCCCGGCAGAC